CAGCCTCGCTTGCTGGGCTCCAGCGATCTTCCACCTCAGCGTTCCGAGTAGCCGGGAATTACAGGCATGTGCTACCATGCCCGGCTGATTTATTTATTTATTTATTTATTGTAGAGATGAGGTCTCGCTGCCCAGGCGGGTCTTGAACCCGCGGGCTCAGGCAATCCACTCACCTCAGCCTCCCAAAGGCGCGGGATTACAGGCTGAGCCACCGAGCCCGGCCTGATCAATTTTTTAAATGGCTAAAGGTTTGAATAGACCAACAAAAAATGTATAGATGTCAAATAAGCACATGAAAAGATGCTCAATATTATTAGTTATTAGAGAAATGCAAATTTAAAAGATTGGAGGAAGAGGATCCAAGATGGTCTTCATGGAGCAGCAGACCATCGCCTCTCTCACTGAGCAAGGCAGAAAGTAGGAACCCAGCTGTTGAGACAGTTTTTGGTGGGTGAAACACCCAGCAAAGCTCTCTTTGAATACACAGAGACCAGAAAGCAATGGCAAACACTGGAACCTGGGCACCTCATCCCCGGCTGTGTGCCAGTCTTGCACAAGAACTGAAGCCTTGTCCAGTGAACGAGAAGGGTTGAATGATTCTAAGATGCTTTGTGTTGGTTTCCACCCTCCCAGCCCTGTGAATTGTTGGTCCCATGTGAGAGAAGTCCTGGTCAGGGCACAGCAGCAAGTGACTAGATCCCAAGTAGAATGGGGAACAAAACTCATGCTGGGACAGCTGCTGAGAGCATGCTTTTCACCACTGAAGCCCAAAAGCCAACTCTCAGGCTTGAAAGCTGGCCTGCAGTTTCACTAGCCTGGTGCCCTTGGCCCACAAGATTAGGGAGAATCACCTCCAAGGCCCGTATGCCCACAGGGTGGATCCCTATCCCCTGTCCCATGGCAGAAAACTCATTTTTTTAAGAGCTGATAGTGGACTTCAACAGGGAGGGAGTGACACAAAAGTCACCTGAAGTCTTCCTGGTGGAAAGGCTTCTGGGCAGCAAACTGCAGACAGACAATGGGGACCAATCCCCCACCCACTTTCTGCAGAATACTTTCAACAGGGACTGAAAAACAACTTGACCAGATTAACAACAGGAGATAAAAATTTTCAGCAGGGTGTCCTGTCACAGTGTGGAGCAGGGAGCAGAAGTGAATCCTGCTCTCTCTCTCTTACTGAGTGACCTATGTTGAATGACAGGAAAGGCCCTGGAATGGAGGGTCATTGATAGCATCAGAGCAACAAAACAAAAGAGGAATTACAGAGAAGGAAGAGAGATATGTCACAAATGAGGAAAAATCAACATAAACAACAATAGGCAATCCTCAAGTCCTAAAGAGACAGTGCCTGAAAAAGCAGCTATAGAGTACAAAAAATGGAAACTCCCCCCCAGAAGGACCTGCCCCAGATGGCAGTCACAAAAATCAGAGATTGAATAGCTAATGGACAGAGAAAACCAAGAGTACTAGAAGCAAAACTCACTAAAGTCATACAAGAAGTAAAAGTGGAGTTGGCCAATTTCAGAAAGGCCCATTCTGATATATGGAAATGAAGAACTTCATCCGGAAATTAAAGACACTGTAACAAGCATAGGGAGCAGGATAAATCAGGCAGAGGTAAGAATCTCAGTACTCGAAGATCAAAATATGGAACTAACCCAGTCTGTCAAAAACATTTTTTAAAAAGCTCAAAAAGAAGTAAAGCCTCCAAGAGATGTGGGACAATGTCAAGAAGCCAAATCTAAGCCTGATTTGTATCCCTGAAGCAGAAAGGGAAACTGAGAACACCATGAAACAAGTACTCCATTAAGTCATCCAAAGAAATTTCCCACACCTTGCTAGAGAGGTGACCATTCAAGCACAAGAGAGTCAGAGAATCCCTGCAAAGTATCACATGAGAAAACCATCCCCAAAACAGAGTAATCTGCCTCCACAAAGTAAGCATGAAAGAAAAATTCCTAATAGCCACAAGAAGGAAAAGTCAGACCACCTACCAGGAAAGACCAAACAGAATCACTCTAGATTTATCTGCAAAAACACCACAACCAAGAATGGATTGATTACAACAAACACCTGCATACAAATAAACTAATAAATCTAAAGAAATAAAGGACTTGCTAACATCACACAACCTCCCAAGGTTGAAACAAGAGGAAATTGAAAATCTAAACAGTCCAATAACAATCCAGGAAATCAACTCATTTATAAGAAACCTCCCCCCAAAAAAATCCCTGAACTAGATGGCTTCCCAGCTGAATTCTACAAGACATACAAGGAGGAGCTGATACCAATCTTATTGAAAGTATTCCAGGCAATCAAGAATGATGAACTTGTTCCCATCTCATTTTATTATTTTTTATTTTTTGAGTTGAAGTCTCATTCTTTTGACCAGGCTGGAGTGTCATGGCACACATGCTCTCAGCAACTGTAGCCTTTGACCTGCTGGACTTAGACGATCCTCCACCTCAACCTTCCATGCAACTGGAACTACAGGCATGCACTACTACACCTGGCTGATGTTTTTTATTTATTGTAGAGACGAGGTCTCACCAAGTTGCCCAGGTTGGTCTCAACCAGATGAAGTTGAGGCAATCCTCTCGCCTCGGCCTCCCAAAGTGTTGGGATTATAGGCTTGAGCTACCACACCCGACCTGCTCATTTTATGAAGCCAACATCATACTGATACCCAAACCTGGTAAAGACCCAACAAGGAAAGAAAAGTATAGGCCAATCTCCTTGATGAATAGATGCAAAAATTCTCAAAACATTCTAGCAAATTGAATCCAACAACACATCTCAGGATTTCAGCCACAACCTCTCGGCCAAGTCATCCACGCTCTTCTTCGGGAATGCGTTCATCGTGTCCACCATCCCCATCTGGTTATATTGGCGAATATGGCATATGGATCTTATTCAGTCTGCTGTTCTTTATAGCGTGATGACCCTAGTAAGCACATATCTGGTAGCCTTTGCGTACAAGAATGTAAAATTTGTTCTCAAGCTCAAAGTGGCACAGAAAAGGGAGGATGCTGTTTCCAAAGAAGTCACTTGAAAACTTTCTGAAGCTGATAATAGATGTCTTGGAAGGAGAAAGATGAAAGAATCTTGTGGAAGAAGAATGAAGTTGCTGACTATGAAGCGACAACATTTTCCATCTTCTATAACAACACTCTGTTCCTGGTCTTGGTCATTGTGGCTTCCTTCTTTATATTGAAGAACTTCAATCCTACAGTGAACTACATTTTGTCCATAAGTACTTCATCAGGACTCATCGCCCTCCTGTCTACTGGCTCCAAGTAGATAGACCATTAGACCATGGCAGCTTCCCCTGGCTTACATTGATGGGTGGCCTGTGGTGTATGGGCAGGCAGCAGGGTGGTCAGAGTGGAAGATACAAGATGTTTTTATAGTCTGGAGCTTGAGGGTTTAAAAAATCAACAGAATGTAATTCAGCATTTGTTTATTGGCTCTTTTTGACAGATTGTTGAAATTAAATGAATTGAAAAGGAAAAAAGAATTGGGTTACAAAATCAACATGCAAAAGACAGTTGCATTCCTAGACACCAACAAGCAGGCAGAGAACCAAATGAAAAAGTACAATCCCATTCACAATAGCCACAAAAAAGAAAGAAAGAAAAAGGAATACTTTGGCACCCACCAAAAAGAGAAGCGAGCCAGACTTGGTGGCTCAGCCTGTAATCCCGCACCTTGGGAGGCTGAGATGAGTGAATTGCCTGAGCCTGCAGGTTCAAGACCTGCCTGAGCAGCAAGACCTCATCTCTACAATAAATCAAAAAATTAGCCGTGCATGGTAGTGCGTGCCTGCAATTCCAGCTATTTGGAAGGCTGAGGTGGAAGGATCGCCGGAGCCCAGCAGGTCAAGGCTGCGGTGGCCGGGAGCAGCCACTGCACTCCAGTCTGGGTGACAGAGTGAGACTCCAACTCAAAAAAAAAGAGAAGTGAAAGACCTTTACAATGAGCACTACAGAACATTGCTCAAAGAAATCAAGGACAACACAAAAAATGGAAAAACATCCCATGTTCATGGATTGGAGGAATCAATATTATCAAGATGTCTATCCTATCAAAGGCAACCTACAGATTCAGTGCAATACCTATCAAATTACCAACATCATTTTTCACAGACCTGGAAACAACAATACAGAAATTCATATGAAAATTAAAAAAGAGCATGAATAGCTAAAACAATCCTCAGAAGAGTAATAAAATGAAAAGTATCACACTTTCAGCCTTTAAATGGTATTACAAGGCTACAGTAACCAAGAGAGCTTACAGGACTAGGCACATAGACCACATAGACCAATGGAACAGAACAGAGATTCTGGAAGAAAAAAACACAGTCTTTCAACCAACTCATCTTCAACAAAGCCATTAATAACAACCACTGGGGAAAGGACACCATATTTAGCAAATGGTGCTGGGAAAATTGGCTGACCACATGCAGAAGAATGAAACTGGACCTCTACCTATCACTATATACAAAAATCAACTCAAATTGGATCAAAGATCTAAACGCAAAACCTCACTATAAGAATCCTGGAAGAAAATGTAGGAAACATCCTTATGCACATGGGAGTAGGCATTAAATTATTGACTAAGTCCCCCAAAGCAAATGCCATAAAAGCTAAGATAGACAAGTGGGACCTCACCAAACTAAAAATCTGTTGTGCATCAAAACATCAAGAAAGCAGAGACAACTCACATAATGGGATAAAATATTTGTAAATTATGCATCTGGCAAAGACCAAACTTCCAGGATCTGAAAGAACTCAAATGAAGTGAAAGGAAAAAAAATTTTTTTGAGTGGGCAAAGGGCATGAACAGACACTTCTCAAAAGATGACATACAAGAAGCCAACAGATACATGAAAAAGTGCTCTGTCTTGCTAATCATCAGAGAAATGAAAATCAAAACTACACTGTGATATTATCTAACTCTGATAAGGATGGCTATCATCAATAAGTCAAAAACCAACAGATTTTGGTGCAAGTGCAGAGAAAAGGGAACACTTCTATACTGCTGGTGGGAGTGCAAGCTAATTTAACCTCCATGGAAACAGTGTGGTGATTCCAAAAAGAACAAAAATTTATCTTTCATATGATCCAGCCATCCCTCTCTTGCAAATATACCTGGAGGAATATAAATTGTTCTACAAAAAGATACCTGCACATACATGTTTATTGCCACACTATTCACGATAGAAAAAACATGGGACCAACCGTGCTGCCCATCAAAACTGGTAAAACTCATGTCAATATATGGGATAAATAAAATTACATCCAGTTAGTAGTAAGTCTCCAGAATTTCTGCAATCAGATAAGATAAGAAAGAGAGAAAGATAAGGGAGAGAGGGAGAGAGAGAGGGAGGGAGGGAAGAAGGGAGGGAGGGAGGGAGGAAGGAAGGAAGGGAGGGAGGGAGGAAGGAAGGAAGGAAGGAAGAAAGGAAGGAAGGAAGGGAAAGAAAGAAAGAAAATGAAAGAAAGAGAGAGAGAGAAAAAGCAAGAGAGGTAGGTGAGGGCTTTAGAGAAGTCAAAACCGAGAACTGGCTCACTATTCCTCCCCAGGATCCTAATTATCAAAAACAAAATTTTTAAGCATGTTGGATAAGAATTTGCTGCAAGAGGCAACTTTCATCTCAAAATAAAAACTGACTGAAAGAATCAAACACAAAAAAGTTAAATACTGAGCTCTAACCTTTTAGAGTCAAAAGGAAAAAACAAGGTGAGCAAATACTAAAACTAATTACGACTGGGGAAAAAATATATATATATATATTTATTTCATCCAAAGACAACTAACTTAAAAAGTGAGATAAGAGGAGGAAAAATAGCATCAGTCATAAATTATTCTAATTAAAACTCTGACTTCAAATATATTAGTGTCAGAACAGTTTCTTGGGAACTGGGAACTTAATCTTTTGAAGCTTTAGATATCTCCTCTAGACTGGAATAATAATAGCAACCTACCTTATAAAGTTTTTGTAAAGATTAAATGAAATAATAGAAATAGCTGGGAGCGGTGACTCAGCCTGTAGTCCAAGCACTTTGGGAGGCGGAGGCGAGAGGATTGTCTGAGTCCAGGGGCTCGAGACCAACCTGGACAACATGGCGAGACCTTGTCTCTACAATAAATCAAAAAATTAGCTGGATATGGTGGCACGCGTCTATAGTTCCAGCTACTTGGAAGACTGGGTCGGGAGGATCACATGAGTCCGGCAAGTCGAGGCTGCAGTGGCCATGATTGTGCCACTGCACTCCAACCTGGGTGACAGAGTGAGACTCTGACTCAAATAGCAACAATAATAATAATGCTGTGAGATCAAGGTCTATTATAGATTACACGCTCAACAAAAGGTTGATGATTTCACTTCCTCAATCTGGTTTCCTAATTCACCTGATAAAACATTAGAAAAAACAAACCTAGAAGTAAGAGAGTTGCTTTCTAACTTTATATCATTTTCTCTCTAGCAGAGTTGCATCAGTGTAGTCACCTGCACTAACTTTTCTCCTATACAAATATACTACATTTCTTTTACAAACTATAAAATTTATAGTTGGTTGTCTGAGAAGTAAAAAATAATGCCAAGTAACAAGAATTTTACTTTCTTCCATAATTGAAAGAAAAAGTATAATTGAAAAAGCATTCAGCCAGTCACGGTGGCTCACACCTATAATCCCAGCGCTTTGGGAGGCCAAGGTGAGAGAATTACCTGAGTCCATGGGTTCGAGACCAGCCTAGACAACTTGGTGAAACCTCATCTCTACAATAAATCAAAAAATTAGCCGTGCATGGTGGCACGTGCCTGTAGTTGCAGCTACTTGGAAGGCTGAGGTGGAAGGATTGCCTAAGCCCAACAGGTCATGGCTGTGATGACCAGGAGCATGTCACTGCCCTCCAGCCTGGGTGGCAGAGGGAGATTCTGACTCGAAAGAAAAAAAAAAATTCTTCTGTAAACTAGTAAGTTTGGAAAAGAAAAAAACAAAACAAAACAGAAAGCATCATTTTTAAAGTATTTGAACTTTATCTGGCACACAAGTTGATTCACACAGATTTTAATAATTTACACGTATGGTCAAAATTAAAACTTGTTTGGACATTTTTTTGGCCTGCTACTTGAGAATTTTCAGAGCAAATCTTTGTAAAATTTGATGGGAAACAATAGTTTGGGAGACATTCCTCTTGAAATCTTGACTGTTTTTTTTTTTTGGTTTTTTTTTTGAGTTGGAGTCTCACTCTGTCGCCCAGACTGGAGTGCAGTGGCTGCTCCCGGCCACCGCAGCCTCGACCTGCTGGGCTCCGGCGATCCTTCCACCTCCGCCTTCTGAGTGGCCAGAATTACAGGAGTGCGCTACCACGCCCGGCTATTTTTTTTTATTTATTGTAGAGATGAGGTCTCGTCTGCCCAGAACCTTGACTTTTTAAGTGAAAATATTATGACTCTGATTAGGTACCACTAAATTACTTAAACAAGTGTATTTTCTCTTAGAAACACTTGAAAATATGTACTGTAATTATATATTAAGAAAAAATTTTCAAGTTGAAAAATGAATTAGGAAAACAAATAAAATGTAACATTGTTTCAAACAAACCTAAAACAATTCTAAAAAAATACAAACTACAAAGAAATTTGAAAGCTAATAGAAAAAAATAGAAGACATAACTATTACTAGCTTTGGGATTTTTGAATGTGCATTTAACATATGTCAAATAAAATTTTTGAAGAAAAAGATAATCTAATTTCTTAGAAAATATTTTTTTAAAAGCATATATTATTGTTTTCTCTTATAGTGTGAAGTACCCTTTAATGAAAAGGCAGTTTGGGAATGTTATTTTACTTGAAAATTATTAAATATTTGGTTACTGCTATTATTATTATTATTATTGTTATTATTGAGTTGGAGTCTCACTCATTTGCACAGGCTGGAGTGCAGTGGCGCGAATGCTCACGGCCACCCCAGTGTCAACTTGCTGGGTTCCAGCAATCCTTCTGCCTCAGCCTTCCAAGTAGCCGGAACTACAGACATGTGCTACCACACCCAGCTATTTTTTATTTTATTGTAGAGACAAGGTCTTGCCAAGTTGCCTGGGCTGGTCTCAAACCCGCAGGCTCAGGCAATCCATTCACCTCGGCCTCCCAAAGTGCTGGTACTACAGACCGAGACCGGCCTGTTATTATTTTAAAAGTCACAAAATAAAAGGAAACATGGAAAATTAGAAAAGAATAATTTTTATTATAGAACATTTTTGTATCATTTAAATATTATTTTACTGAGTTAAGTGAATTACTCTTAGTGGTGACATGTTTATAATTGTCTATTTTTGTCAATGAGAATATTTTAATTTTTTATTAAAATTTGTAAGCAACTTGGGCATATTTCATTAAGTGAGGTATACATAAACTAGTAAGTGCAAAAACATTAATTCGTCTCACATGAAAAATTTGTTAAACTTTACACAGCAAGATTTTTCTCTATTGGAAAAGATTTGGCACTA